GAATAAATCAGTCAGCATTTCTTGGTCACAACATGCTACTAATTCTTTGGTAACAAAAATGACATCATCAAATTCAATATCTACAATGAGAGTAACAATTTTTCATTAATGGTATTAAAAACTTACCAGTCACAAATTTAAACTTTTCAGGTATTGGTTCCTATAAAATATTTTATTAATATTTGCATAATGCTTAATGTTTTACTACCTCAGTCAATGCTTCTATCCAGTCACTATACTCTGCGTTTGACTTACATTCATCACACAACTTGACATCATGTGGAAGTCGGTGATACTCTTTTTCATTTTTTGAGCACATAATAGCAAAAGCATAACTGAAACGTCCACGGCCCTTCTTTTTATCGATAATTTCTGCTATTTCTTTGAATGCCTGCACAACACACAGGGTGTGCTTTTTTGAAGAAGGAATAACTTTAATTTCAGTCTCGTCACCTCTATAGGTCATTGTTATTATGCTGTTGTTATCGGTGCATTTTATAATGGTACAATTTTCATCAGTTGACGGTTGAAGTTGTACAAAACTGTGCTTCAACATGCAATTAGTAAAAGCAACTTCAAAATTGACAAAGTTTATAGGACGTCTATTATTCCGTAGTAGTCTGACTGCCTCCTTGTCTATAAGGCGCTTTTGCTTACGTTTTCGAGCACAAGGCATGTAATAACAAACTTCATGAGTTTCATCTTCAGCATACTTTCCACCTGGCACCACTGCTACCATGCCAACTAATGCTAGAACTGACATGAATGTCTCTCCCTGATTGGCCCCAAACATTTCTCTAGCTGTTGTTTTGGTGATAATGCCATTTTCAGTGTACATCTTAGAATCTGGAGGGTTGTCAAATGCTTTACTGAGATTAGATAAAAATTCATTAGGTTTGACAATAATAATATCCCTGGTATCATCAACAAGACTAAGGTCAAAGATGCTACCAAATGATGTGAATAGTTCACAAAACTCTTTGAAATCCTCATCATTCATATCGCATTCCTCAGCAAGCTGACGTAACTCTGCCTTCCTCATAAACATGCCC